GAAGAGAGAGAGAGAGAGAGAAATACATTCAAAAAACCAAGACTGAAATAAGATACGACACGATCTATAAATGTGACACAAAATTGAAATTCCTAGACGCAGTATTCCGAAATCATCACAGACCAAGGAAACGGCTCAAATGAAGAAAATATGCATTACATCGAAATATTGCATTAAAATTTGATTGAGTATTCGAGCATAAACATGACCAACAAACTTTCACTTGCCATTCTTGTCTTAACTAGCACGTACAACCTTTTTTGCTATTAAAAATAATAAGGCTCGTCACTTAAATAATATCGTACTAAGTAAGCAACGATGATATTGATAACTGTAATATTTATAATAATGATAATAATAATAATAATAATAATAATAATAATAATAATAATGGTGCCATCAATAATAATAATATTAATAATAATTAATATAAAGGTAATAATAAAGATAATAATGAGACAATAATGAAAATAAGAATACATATCGCGTTTAACATTGTTAATCTACATACTTCGAATATTACATATATAATGTAGCTACGTAGATACATCACAATATAATTACACTGTACATTAATAATATTGACGCTCGTATCGGGCCGCGGATCGATAATTATCTCCCGACACAATGTACAAATCCATTATATACATAAAATAAATTATTATCAACATTAAGCTACCCTAATCTGATGCCGGTCGAGTCCCAACAAAACGGGTGCAGATATATCGAGGATACTGGCTCTCTTTATAAAATTATATTAGGTACCGTGTGTTTATGTAAATTGCACTGATTATAAATAACAAAAGAAGAAAACGTGAAAAAAGGAGGAGACGCAAATATTCGCTTCACGTCGAGCCAACGAGGCGACTCGGAACTAGAGGTTTTTCTCTCTTCTTTTTTTTTCTTTTTTGATTAACCCCCCGCCCGCGAAAACGCTATTTGGCACATAAGTATTATATCACATCAAGCTCCAAATCATTATATCGCCCTGTTCGATCGTCTCGCAGATCACGCTGCCTAGCTACGTTACAACTGTGTTCTCGCCGTCGACTTACACGAGATCGTAATTGTCCTCATCAACCTCATCTCCCATGTACCGTAATCTCCCCCGCGAATTCGTAAATGTAATTCGAGACTGGAGAAGCGCATGGCGTGCGTAACGCACCCTCGCACGATAATGGAGATGACGTGTCATGCATATCGCAGATGCGCGCTGATCTCTCGATAAATAACGCTATAATCCCTTCCGCGACGTTTTACCGCAATGTTGTACTAATATATCGACGATCCGCTAATTCTCAATGTCTCTATTGCAATCCTCTTTATCGCTCCTTTTCGCCCCTTTTCGCCCCCTGTCACTCAGTCGACTATCAACCGCCCCCCGGCCGTCGCCGCTTTTACATATTAGGGTCAATAAATTAACGATGAAAATACTATAAGTACTAAGCATTTATATTAAAGGAGAAAGCCCGTCACGCGTCTATGTACCGGGATTTAATCGCGCGAGCGATTATCTTCTAGCTTTTTCTCACTCCGTTCCGACCTTTCGTTCGGCGCGTCGAACGTAGTTGTTTTACATACGATGGAACATTTTAAACAACTAACTGGCGGTCGCAAGATAAGATTGCCACGTGCGCGTCTACGCTGTTCGTCGGACGCACGATCGTTGCGGAAGATGCTGCGATAGACCAGTTTCTATTTATTTGTTTACTCTCTCTTTCATTTTTTTTCCTTCCCTTCTTTCTGTCTTTTTTGTTTCTTTTTCTCGATACGGCCGACCGGAATGGCGTATCGTTAGACACATACACACACATACACACTAGGAGAAATAGGAACAAGACTTTTTGGCCATGCATCGTGTCGCAACGTGTACGTACGATATCGGCTACGTATTCAAGTTCGATAAGAAGACCGGCACGAGCTGCGCATCCGAATCGGCGCGCCGAGGCGACACGCGATTGTCTTATAAAAATTATGCGTATGCACGTGCCCCCGCGACCTCCCCTCGTCCCGCATCTACGCGCGCACGTATGCTGAATGGAGAGATTGAATTGCAACGAGATTTGGATTTTGGCCGCTGGTTCAACGCCGGTTAATCTCTACACGTTAGCTACTGACGATCGAGGTCTACTGTGAGTTTCGTGTGGACTGCAGTTTTGATTACGATGCAGAAGAATATACAGGGAATCCCGCCGAACGTGCGAAAGAGACGCCGTCCTCCGTCGTCGCTCGTCTAACGCAAGAGCAAGCTACCAGAGAAAAGAAATTCGAGGAGATGAAAAATTAGGACGTCTAGTAAACGGCTATGTGATATATCTTTTAAAGTCTCACGTTATTTCTGTTGTATTTCAGTTTAGACCGCGGGGTTTTCATGTGTGTTTTCAGTGTGCGTTTGGAAGAATACTTCGCCTAAGGATGTCTGAGCGAAAACGAATAACAGAAATATCTTATACAAGAACAGTTCATGGACTGTAATTGTCGAGTATTCCATGTGCGAACATGTGAATAGATACACCCGGGCCTCGATACATTCGGAAAATGACGTTGTATTACCTAGTAATAGGAGAATTGAATGAAAATTGAGATGTGAAATAAAACGGATTATAAATTATTGAATATTTGTTGAATTAAAAAACATACAAGAGAGAAGGGAATGTATTCAATTGTTCTTCTCTCCTTCTTAATGAACTCTAAATAGATCATAGTATAAATAAGAAATAAAAAATACATATGCAACACAAACATATTTTTTCTTAAGTACTCCATTTTATTTTACGAGATTAAATATTCTGTTGAAACAAAATAATTTTAGTCTTTCTAAGAGAGCATTGGATATCTTCTGTTTTTTTAATCTTAAATAATTTAATTTAATTTAATGAATTTAATTAAAGAGCAATAATTAAATAATATATAAGTAAAATTCAACTATATAGTATAATTGTCACATGTGAAAAACATTTTTAACATTTTTAAACTTCAAAAATAAAATTAACCGAGAAGTCTTCGATGATCAATCAACTGTATCAAATAGAATGATACAGAGCAATGCATAAATCGATAAATCAATCGTAATATTTAATCATGCAGATGTTACGATTCGTTATATAAACGATTTTATATATATATAATATATATAAGAATCATATTATGTGAACAGTTTATTAATTTTACGATCACAACTATATAGATTTTACATTGCATCCACATAAATTTATTCATTTTATATTTTTCTTTTATGCTTTTAAGATTTGAAAAATATTTACGTCAAACACATGTGTTTCATTTTTAGTGGTTAAAAACATGAATTTCTTTTCTGTAAATAATTTATTATCATACTTTATGATTATTTTTGAGATTAAAAAAAAAATCCAGTCTATTAATATGAAGAGACAGATATGAATAGAGTGTGCATTGTAATGTTTAATTCATTTCCGAAAAATGTGTGTTTTTAAAACTTTACATATAGCTGAATTTATCATTAATTGCTTTTTAAACTTTTCTATTAGAAAAATTTTTAAAAAATTTGTAAAAAAAAGAAAGAAATTTTGTAAATTGAACATCAATTTTATTTCAATAATATATTTCAATTTTATAAAATAAAATATCAGGAAAAATATATTATTCTCGTTTCGATACATACTGTAACGTATTCAAAGTTCATCAAAATCAGAGGACAATTCCCTTGTTGATTAGAATATGTTTTCTTAATAATTGCGAACTGGATATCAGGTATTTTTATTATTAAAATATCCGATAAATTTAAATATACTGAATTCTCAGTACAACAATTAATACAAGCTTGTATCCGTTTATAAAATGTCGTATCGAGGTCCGTATAAATATTCAATACAAATTAAATGGATTAAATGATAATAAAAGATCTCTATTGAAAAAATATCGGCATTTATAGAAAAATAAGAAAGATCGACAATCGAGCAACGTCACAACGGAGACGCTCTTGAGCTTTTACTTTGCGGATAGGTCCTTCGCGTTTCGCGTACGATGGCACAGAGATAGAACATTATATCACAACCTCCGGCGAGAGGTTTCGAGACGCCCGACTCTTCTTCCCCCGAGAAGTAGTGTCTTCTTCCAGTTCTTTCCGTCGTGCAGAAGCGCGCGACTCACAAGTATGTTCCTGCGTTCGCGCGTATGCGGCTCGCGCCGCGACTGTGACTTAGGACACGTCATCGTCGTCATCGTCGTCACACGACAAGACGGACGATTTCGATTACCAGAAGAGTTCGTAAGCGAGCCTCGACGTGGATGCGGCCGCCGCAGTCGCCGCAGCCGCCGCCGCCGCTGCCACTGCCGACGACGATGATGATGATGATGCTCCGGGCGGCCAAAGTGGCTGACCCGGAGCTGCGGTTCAATCCTCGTCGTGATGTCGCGGACTCGCGTCGTAGCCGCCGATCGAGCCGGAATTCTCGGGCGAGAAGTTCATCATGTCCGTGGGCGAGAGGCTGTCCTGCGGATAATAGAACGAGGGATGATCCGAGCTCGGGCCGGCGCCACCGCCACCGCCGTTCAGCATCGTCGCCGGCGGCGAGACCGACGGCCGCGCCGACGGACCGGCGCCCGTGCCCGGGTGATGCTGCGAGCCAGTCAGATCGGCGCTCACCGGCGACAAGAAGTTCATCTCGCTGCCGCCGTCGCGGCACCACAATTGCCGCATCTCCTGCCGCCGCTGCCGCATCAGCGACTTATACTCGGAGATGCGCATCTTTTTGCCATCCACGATGCACGTGCGCTTAGGTCGCGGCCGATACCTATAGTCCGGATGCTTCTCCATGTGCAGCTTCGACAGCCGCGACTGTTCCTCGTAATACGGCTGCTTCTCCGAGTTCGACATTGACTTCCACCGGGCACCTGCAATCGACAGAGTGCGCAACTCAAGTGGAGAACATTTCGCGTTCTTCGATAATTTTTCATCGATTAAATTAAATTAGATGTCAAATAGACTTATGTTTCGAGTATATAATTTGTAATGTAATTTGTAACGGGAGTTTTAATACATGTTTGCAAAATTATTTATATTTATCGGTAATAATATCAATATAATAAATATTGATAGATATTGACAGTGATTGATGGAATCAATGACTTAATGAACTATAATTGAATTAAAATAATTTAAGTATCAATTGTAATCGCAGATATATGAGCGATATGAATCGGGTATGCTTACCGAGAATTTTCGATATGTTCGAATTATGCATGTCTGGACAGGCTTTCAAGATCTTTCTACGTTCGTCCTTGGCCCACACCATGAACGCGTTCATAGGTCGCTTGATATGTGGCTTGTTCTCACCCTCCCTTTTCTGCTGCCTCACCATTTTAGCTGAAGAAAGAGAGAGAGAAACAGGGCGTTAGGTGTCACGTCGTCGTCGCGATCTACGATACTCTCGTGAGAAACGAATCTGATTTCGCGAGGGCGTCACTTGGCGCTCTCAAAACAAGAGCGTAATATTAGTCTGATCGTTACTCATAGAAGTGCTTACCTTTTTCCGTTATGTCTTCCGCTACTTTATATCCCGGATCTCGCCACACTGCAATTTTGAAAACGAGTCATGTATACGAGATATAAACGATGATAAACTTGAGATTATTATATGCAATTTATATATAAATCTCATATATTATCGTTATAATAAACAATATACCGTAATTAGAATTGTGCAAAGAATTTTTGAAATACTAATTCAAAAATAAAGAAGATTTTTTTATCTGTCTATGAATTTAATATTAAAGAAATTAAAAAATATATGAGCAAAATTTATATAATATTATCAATACAATTTGCAACTAAAAAAACTACAAATGAAAAATTATTACATTTTCGACCGGAATTTCAGGGATTTTTTAAGGAGCGTTTTGAGATGCAGTGCATCTATTGCATTTCATTTGCACAATTCTGTTTCATACAATACGAACCATTATATATCTCAATACTACTCATATTTGTCTAATAAATAGAAAACAGTGAAAATCGACATAATTTAAATTGTTTATATGTCACGTACGTACAAGTATAATTTTTTATATTATTTTATCTCGCATAACTTATATGCGATACTTCATCGCAGTTATTGTTTCCCTGACAAGAAGATCGATTTTACATTTGTCAAAGATTTTAGAACACGTTCGAAACTATATTAAGTATTCTTTACATTTGCGCAGCGTTTCGTGATCCGTCTCAATTAACGCGACGCCCGTTTCTCCGCATTCACTTACTGTGAGGCGTCGAGAGAAAATCCTGCTCCTCCTGAGGCGTCTCCTCCCGAGAGCCAGAATGCTTGATCGGTCTTTGAGTCTGGGCCGACGGTGGCATCCCACCTGCGTTCGATGGCAATCCGTACAGGCCGTGCATCGCGAAGTGCTTTTCCACGGCCGCGACCGCAGCGGCCGCCACGGATCCTCCCGGTCCACCGGCCTCGTCTTTGGCCATTACCTTGCCCACTGTAACGGGTCATCGGAGACACGAAATGAAAGACGCGTAATATGGAAATACGATCGGAAGAAGAGTTCAAGATACATAATAAAAAATGAAGACGCACAAAATGCAAAATCCTTGCTGATTAAAACTTAAATTAATTTGGCGAAAATTTAATTTGGCATTTTAGACCTTTTTGGCATTTTTAGATCTTTTTGCTAATTCTTTTACGTCTTCTTCAATTTTAATATTAAATCATCATAATAACTAAGAATTTTTTTCAAGTGAAAAAAATCATTCTCGAAAAGAAATATCTAGCGGAGAATTTGTTATAGTCGATTGTTAACATAAATATTATTTTCAGAATCACGTTTATGCGAGAATCTTTTTCTCGTTATCGGATCTTTAATACAAAATTCCGAAGTTTAAACTTGTTTTGCAGTATACCATATAAGTCGCGATGAAGTGACGTGCGAGCGATTGCCACGCGAAGAGATTCTCTCTCGCGATGTTACAATGACGGCATGCGGATTTTCTTCCCTTCCTTGCTCACACACGAATCTCGCGTCGCGCGGCCCTTATCGGGCGGAATCGCGTTACGCATCGTTGATTATGAGCATGCCGGTACCCATGGCAAAAACCAGATGGCAAGTGAAACAGGTTCTCCGGGGCGAGTGGCGTCGAAAAAAAACCGGCCGCGGGACAATCGGGAAAACTAGCCTGTTCGAAGATGATTAAGTGTTCACCGCCGGCATAAAATCGCATACTACGGAGGGTACCGACCGTGCCTTTCTCTCTCGGAATCCATTTGCGGCAATCGTCAATTTGCAATTGTTCCGCGAGACGAATGCGTCGCGCAATCGGCGCACCGGCGAAATCTACGTAATGTTTGGCTCGCGGTAACAGGCGTTACTTTAATCGTGCTAATTCGGGTGGATACTTCACGAGTGGTTGGTCGATTATGGTACGCAATTCGCGAGATATAATGTCAGTGAGAGCGTGCACGTATATTGCATAAAGATAATTAACCGTGGTGAATAGCGACTATCACTCGGAATATCCGCGAAATGTCGTTTCGACACGATACTCGACTTCACCGCTACCTGACAGCCAATGCAATCCCTTACGGCTTAATGGTGTTATTCCGCTCCCATGGATCCGCCAGCGATTAAAGCGAACGAGCTAAATAAATAAATAAAATTTTAAATAAATATTTCACTCACTCGGCGAAGACAAAGTGCTGAGATGCGGCGGCAGACCGGCGTAGGGAAGCGTCGGCAGGTAATTTCGCGGTAACGGCAGTCCTGGCGGGAAAAGTTTGGGCGCGGTTGCCGCCAACGGTTGTTCCTGCTGGCCACTACTTCCGGCGCCGGTCGAGTGCGAGTCGCTACCGGGCGACGAAGAGGACGCCGTGGCGCCCGACGACGTCGACTTCGGCTTGGTAAGGTTCAGCGGAGCGTCGAGATCCTGAAGAGGCGGTGCCGTCGGCGCTACCGCGGATGAGATCGGCGCCGGCGACGACGATTCCTTCTCCATCTGCGTGGTCATTTGCGCGAGATGCGCGGTCGCCCAGCTCGGGCCTTCCCGATGACTGCTGATCATCTGCGAACGAATGGAACTAACTCAGAAACAGGAGCCAAACGAATCGAGATTTCTCAATTCAAATAGTACTTATATTAAAACAATGTATATCTATATATTTTTTTTTAACAAATGCTAGAGTTTAAAGAGTTTCCTTTCGTATTTTTGTCTGGAATGAATAGATAAAATAAACGAAAATAAACTAATGACAAAATAATAGCAAATATTGCATTTTTGTGAAAAATTGTTAGCATTTTTCGGAGTTATGATATCGATAATCACCGGATCACGTACATTAGCAATAGAGTTGATGTGCTTGTTGCCGGTGGTGGCAGTTGACGTGGTCGGCGGCGGAGGCATGGGCGACTGCACGGGAAGCCCTCTGAGCTGCTCGAGAAACGGCAGAAACATCAACGACTGTGGCCCCGACATGCTCAGCTGGCTCTTTGTCATCTGAGCTTGCAACTCCTGGATGTTGTGCTGCATGATGTGCTCTTGCTGCCGCTTCAAGTGCTCCGTTTGCAGCCGCTGCATCTCGATTTGCTTCTGCGAGTCGACCGTCATGTGAGTGGGATATGACTGTAAAGGCACACGGACCACTAATTAAAGGGATGCTGCGCGCTCCGATGTGCACGTCGGCTTATGTAGAGAGTTGCGAGATTCTTCGCGCGCTATTACGAGGGTGGGCAATTCGGTGTGGCTTATCCGCGCCACGGATGAAATACCCCGGACCTTTGTTGTCGGAAAAATGCGAACGTGAAGCAAATGGCATGAATTGCCACTTTATATCGCTAACGATTCGATGCATCGTAAATATTATTTTTGTCCTTTTCACTATATTTTATCTATATACATTTTAGACTTATTGTTAGAAATGCGACAGCAGATGCAAGAATTGGTGTTGTTTGACATTATGATCTAACAATTCGAACGATTATCTCGAATGATCGACCTATTGCCACTGTACACTTTACTCGGAATTCTTTTATAAAATATGTCAATTATAAATATTTGCTAAGAGCATCATTTTTTCAATTTTTTTATCATTATATTTGAATACTCACATAATTGATTATTAAGAAAAAGATTTATTGAAACTTTTGCATTTTAAATTATCAAAGCTATTTTAATACAAAATGTATTATATTAGATTGTAAATATACTATGATACATAATTTATGTCAAAAAGATGATTACCTCATAATCAAATAGTTAAAAATCTAATTGCATGTCTGACTATTAACATCACGCGATTAAACGGATCGCAGCCAAGTGCATCGCCAGCGAATTTTTTGCGATTATTTTAGCGATTATTATATTAATAGCATCGAAGCATGCCGGTGCAATGCGCGGCGAGTATCCGATCCATCCTCCATAGGAACGCAACAATTTACGCGGCAAATATCATTGTACTTTCCTACATCCTGGCTACGATCCAGATATGCGTGGAGTTTATTTTAGACGATAAGGAAGACGTTTATTCATCCAGCCTGTGCACCAGCTGAGATGTCACACGCGCGCGACGCTGGATGCATTCGTGTCGCCCTTCTCCGATTCCGAGTCTCGCGATTATTAATTTCACGACGCTCTCGATGGCGGTTTCTTTCGGGGACTTTATCACCGAGACGTAGAATCGGCGCAGGAAAATCCTGGCTTATATTTTATAAATAGTTGCAACGGGAAATAAAAACTGCAGGGAGACACAAAAATCCATGCAAAAACATGCATCGTTGCACAAGCGGCGATAAGCATGACCTTCCGTGATGATTAGACATTGCCAGATACTTCTTATTGACTTTTGCTGAGTATTAAAAACGATAGAGCGTAACGAGTGTAGATGCAAAAGCAACATGTTTTAATAGATATTAACGCGCGAAATGATTATAATGTGCAAAACACAAGAAGCTGATTGATACGCCGACTTGCCTTTAAGCGGTTGCCTTTAAGTTTTTTAACCATATTAGAACCTTATATATATAAGAAATAATTACAAGAAACAAGAATAAATTAAGTATCATTACTCGAATCGGAAAAAAAAACGAATTTTGCTTTTTCTATATCCATGACTAAAATAGCAATTTAAAAAAGAACTAATATTAAAAAATTTATTCCCTGTCCAAGCCACAGTTGGAGAGAAGCTTTCTTTTTCGATAACACGCA